ATCCGATCCTGTGACTACGGCATTGTTTATGTTAAAGTCTTACGAAACCAGTGACTGATTGGTTCTACATATAAAACTGCAGAAAATAAGACCTGATTTTAGCTGTAGTAAAATTAATGTAAAAAAAATGAATATGGTTGTTTGAAGTACCTGTAATGTTATTTAATGTTAATAAATGGAACAATATAAGTAGCTAACCATTAATGGTAAAAAAGTGAGGCTGCTTCGTATGTAAGTGCTCACATGTGAAAATATATCATCATTACTCTACATAAGAATATGAAAGCAACACTTATTTACTGCTCATATATATTGAAGGTTAAATGTTGTACTCTGTATAGAAGCAGAGAGAGAGAAAGAGCAGCCGAACTGCGGATGTAAACAAACCTTAATTTCCATGACTTTTTTTTTTAAGGATTAGCCCACCGGGCATAGGTCACTGACCCACATTGGGACCTGGGGCAAAAATTTAATACTCCTGTAATAATAATAAATCCAAATAAGTGTAAAAAAAAAAAGCTGCCTATCTACCTATTGGACAAACTAAAATCGTTCCGGACCACGGGAGTTTCGGACCACAGAATGCGGACAGGAGAGTACAACCTGTATTATTTTTATTATCAGTATTATTGTTATTATTATTATTATTCATTTTATTATTATTATTTATTATTATTATTATTATTATTATTATTGTAATCATTATTATTTTATTTTGGTGTATAATTATTAAAATTTTATTTACTATGAATAATTATTATTATTATAATTATTATTAATATTACATTTTGCCCCCAGGCTCAGATGTGGGTCAGTGGTCTGTGCCTGGCTGGGCTATATCCTAATAAAAAAAACACAAAAACTTTGTTTTAGAGCTTTTTGGTTTTCGGAAATTCGGATAAAGGGTTGTCAACCTGTACTGTAACTCATGTGCCTAAGCTCGTATCTACCATGCTTCATTACTTTATTAATAAAGCACAGACTTGAGGGTAGACTGTCACATTTTTAATACACTTTTCTGATTATTTGTGAGAGTATTTTCCCATTATTATTTATTTGTATGTATTTTGTGTGTGTGTGTCTACACACACACACACACATACATTATATACAATACAATACATATATGTGTATACAATCAAAAACAAATGTATTAAAAATATGACAGTCTACCCTCAAGTCTGTGTTTTTAATAAATAGAGCACGGACTTGAGGGTAGACTCACATCTTTAATAACTTTTTTTTATGATTATTTGTGAAAGTATTTTCCCATTATTATTTATTTGTAAGTTTAAGAAATGAGGCAATCCATCTGTAACTGTATGATACTCACATGAGCTTTGCGTTTGGAATCCAAGTCTGGATCAGCTCTTGAAACAGAAGTTACAGGGGAATAATTAGCTTCACTCTGTGCCCACCCATCTGTACCCCTCCATATACAGACATATCAGAGGCTGCATATTCAGGTGCATCTTGGCCAATAATATCAACTGAAAGGAAAGATCAAACACCAATTAATAAAAAATAGGGAATAATCATGGAATCCTATTTTCTACCAAGACCAGGATAGGACAAATTATATAAGCCATCAAGTCTAAAGTGTTCAAAATCCAGATTCCCAAGACAAAGGACTTGCAACAATGCATTTACCAAACCAATAAATAAAGAACTTAATTAAATACTCCCAATCATATCAGATTTCACAGATAAAAAGATACTTGGTATGGTAGATCCCCTTAGAGGCAGAAGGTCGAGTCTTAACCACTAAGTAGTAGGCAGCTACCAAACAGGGAGGTACTAAAGCCTGGGAAGATATTGGAAGCATAATGTATTGTCTAATGGTAGACCCTGCTGCTATATGGCATCACAAAAATTGTGACCAAGTCCCACATTGCTGATCTGACTTTCCGCCTCATTTACAGGTACACACAATTGCAGGGTCTCAATTTTTTCTCTTACTATTGACAACACAACATACATATACTCGTACTGTATCATTTCTCACTCTTGATTCTTTTTCATTTTTATTTATTCATGAGACTAACCCCCATAAAAAAGCTTTTGTTCTCTAATCCTATTTAGTTCAGCTCAACCACAAAATATGTATCACCAATAGCTCAGTCCCAGTCCACTCAGCCGCACTAATGGGAGGATAGTGTCTGCATTGCCCAATCCCAGCCCAGGCCAATACTAAGTGTATTGGAACTTCATTCTTTGACTCTGTTTGGTTGGGGATGGGTAAGTTTTCTTATGCAAAACAGTTCTGTGTAATAGAGCTGTTGCATTTTAATGTGCTTACTAATGCTGCTTTTTATTTGATTTCCTTTTTTTTTTTCAAGTCTGAAATGAAGTGTCAGATCTATTGAAACCTTTCCCTAAATGGTAATGAATTCTCAGCCACTGTTCTCCTTTTCAGACTCAAGTTTTGAAGTGTCTATAGAAAGGGTTCATGGACTCACTAGAAAGGATATTCACAGAGATGTTGGGGCATTAGTCTGCTGGGTGGCTTTGGAAGTTTTTTTTTTTTTTTAATACAGTACTGTAGTTTTAAAGATAGTCAGTCACCTAAAGCCCAGATGGAATTTGATATGGCTAAGTGCCTCACCTAGATGAATCCCAAGCCTTCAAAAACTACATGGCTTATGAGGTAACATCTTCCTACCCCAGCACACTCAGCACCCAAAAAAAACACAGACTTACACAAGGCCAGGCTTAGAACAAAACCAAGGCACCTGTCCAGTACAAATAATCCCAAACCGAAAAAAAAAAAAAAAATTCTATATATATATACAGTCGACCCTCGTTAATTCGGACCCTTTAATAGTTTGGATAATTCAGACAAAATCTGAGCAATTTTTAGATTTAGGAATATTACCTCGCGGACCTTAAGCTAACTGGTCCACCCACTGCTGGGATAAACACCAGCGTCTTTGGTTAAATGTAACATCACCACTAGGCGTGGGGGGATGCAACAGCTTCAGACATAAAAAATATTTACCATTACTGCCAGCAAACAATGGAAACGTAAAATATGTACCAATTAGTAGTAAGTTGTGCAGTTCCTTCAGCAAATGAAGCTCACCAACTTAAATAGGCTAAATTACCTTACAATGTGTTTTCAGTAGTCTATGTTGAGTTCTTAGCACAGGCTAACTTATCATATCATATACGGTATAACAGTTCTCATTGATCTACAAAAATACCGGTAATAAAACCTTTTGATATTTCACACTTAATATAATACCCGGTAATCTATAACCTCCTATTGTTTTACAACGACATGACGCACCACCAGCTGTTGAGTATCAGCTAGACGGCACGTGTTTTTTCGAATCGTTTTCCAGTTAAAAACTGTTACATCACATATATTTTACCTTAACTGAGCCTGAATGAATATATTCTCGAAATAAATAGTAGTTTGCTGAACGTGATGTATTTAATGTAAAATAGGATAAATACATAATGGCCAAAAATTTACCTAATCTTCCGATGTTCAAGAAAGTTACTCGTTTTTAGTTTTGGTTAAAATACTGTTATATTACAATGGTATTATATTCATACTGTACTTGATATAATGCATTCACGAAATGTAATATTTTTGCTGAAATGGCGTCGTATTACAGTTGAAAGTGGGATAAATCGTAGCGAAAACAATGACTTTCACTTTCTTTTCGTTCAAAGATGTTAACGTAATCGCTTTTCGATTGGTTTTCAGTTAAAAACTGTTGTATTACAATAATATTCTATCTAATTGACTTGAATAAATACTAAGATACCATATTTCTGAATATTTTCATTAAAATCCATCAAATCATTTTCCTTGTCATCGTCTGCAGCACCAATCAGCTTCTCCCAGTCCTCTCCTTGAACAGGGCTAGAGGGTGCGTGTTTCTCGAATCGTTTTCAGTTAAAAAACTGTTACATCACAAGTATATTTTACCTAAACTGCACCTGAATGAATATATTCTCGGAAATAAATAGTAGTTTTGCTGAAACATGATGTATTTTAATGTAAAATAGGATAAAATACATGATGAAAACAAAAAGATTTAACCTAACATTCCGATGTTCAAGAGAAGTTACTCGTTTTTTTAATAGTTTTTGGTTTAAAATACTGTTATATTACAATGGTATTCTATTCATACTGTGCTTGATATAATGCATTCACGAAATGTAATATTTTGCTGAAATGTATTATGATACAGTGGAAAGTGGGATAAAATGTAGCGAAAACAATGACTTTGAAATATAATGCAATATTAACCCTAAATCGATTAATTGGACAATAGTTACAAAGCGGACACCCTTCCCCTATTAGTCCGAGATTGCGAGGTGGCTAAACCCTCACTTTCACAGCGGTCCCACATTCCACGTTTCCCGCGTTTACAGCGGTGCCACCACGGCTGGGATACTCACATTCAAGTCGTGTCCCCTTTACCTTGAAGAATTATTATTGGCTCGGCGTATTTTTGGAATTACGCCCCTCCCCGCCTCCCGCCTCCGCCTGGGCAAACGTAGCCCATTGGGTTCTTTGCGCCAGTGCATGTCTCTGTTGCATTATCGAGTGGCGTCATATAGCGTATCGGACTGTGATTGGCCATGCATCCATTACCTCCCTCGCTGCTAACAATTGGTTTAAAGTAATATATGGTATCCCACCGAAGGAGGGAGGAGGAAAAACGGCAGCTTGACCCTATGGCGAGTTTCATCCCCTCCAAACCACCGATATGTCAGAGCATCCATTGTTCTGTAAAATAGCTTCGCGGTTCCCGCCCAGAGAGAAGCCTTTCCTTATGGACCCCTTGCGCCCTAAGCAAAAAGAACCGCGGCGTTCCTTAAGCTACGGTGAGGTACAAGATCATCAAGAGTTGGAGAAAGAATAAGACCGGGTTGATCTCGGCAGCCAGCATGGTATTTAACGAATCCCAGCGATCCGGACTATAAAAAGAAGGATCAGCCAAGATGAGAGCACATGAAAAGATCTAGCAGAATCTACAGGTGTTTCTATGATCAGAAATATTTCACAACCAGGTTAGCTTCTCCAAACGGAAAAATTGCTTGGCAGAGCTACTTGGTGCGTCAGGCGGCAGCAGACATGGCGGTGGACCACGGCGGCTCTGTTAAAGAGGTACACACGTGAACAGCATGCTGCAGTGTCACGAAAGATGGGAGTACAGAACTAGGCATACAATGCTTCCTCAGGTGCGTTACAGAGGTTTAGAAGAAACAGATCACCCGATATCAACATTGGTGGTGAAGAAGCTAGTGCTGACACGTGTTGCATTTAGAATTTCCTCCCGTTTTTCGTGAGATTATGGAGAAGGAAGTACACGGCGACCAGGTGTTTTGCACCGTGGACAAATCTGGTCTTTTTGGAAAAACTACCTTCAAGACCTTCGTTGTGAAGAATACCAGCAAGATTCGGGGCCAAGAAGTTGCAGAAGGGCGCATCCACCGTCCCTATTTACCTACAGTACCTCCGGTACTGTGGCTCAAGTTATCGGTGATCCACACAACCGCATAAACCGCCACGCCTACAAACATGGACATGACCAAGCTAAACGTCCACTATTTGACCCCACATAAGCGTGGATGTTCTCTACACTATCCCTCTCCTGGTTTTGATGACTGTTTAGATTCCCGATGTGAAGAGAAATTCTGTGAGAGCAACAGGAATGTATGATTCAAGATTTGTTGCTGCTGGACAACGCACCAGGACACTACGCCCCTACTGTTAGATCGTCACCCCAACGTATAAGAGTGGTCTTCCCTTCCTCCCACTACGTCTATATTACAGCCCATGGACCAAGAGTTAATCTGTAATGTAAAAAGCTGCATTCTCTACTAAAAAATTCAAGCTCTGAGCATTACCAACACCAGGGAAGGGATTCGCATAACCTGAGTGACACCACCACGATAGCAAGAAGCGAACAACGAGGATCAACAGTTGGCAGAGCAACAAGTACTAAAACAATTCTGGAGAATATTCAACGTCAAGAAAGCTGTGGATTTCTTGGTGGAGGCATGGGATCAGCTGTCTGTAGCAACTGTTCGTCACGCATGGAGACGTGTTGCAAGGCATTCTGGGCGTTAGGTAGAGTCAATCTGTGACTGGTGAGGTTCAGACTGTTGCAGTAGCAGTGGACCTTGCCAGAGAAGCTGCGCAGAGTGTTACAGCTGCAGGCTTCTCTGAGACCACCAACGACGACATCCTGGAGGTGATAAGGGATCCTGATGTGACTACCGACGACATGGTAGATGATGATGACGTAAGTGAAGAGGCAGGTGGTGCGTCATCCCAAGAAGAACGCCGCTTATCCCATAGTAATGTTAGGGGTGCCATCGAGTGTATCGAGAAAGTCAAGCTCCTCCTTTCCGACGACCCTGACGCAAACAGGTATGAAATCTTCACCACCCAGCTGTTGCAGACTATGGAGCCCTACATCAAGGTTTATCACGACAACATAAACACCAGCCGTCAGCAAAGCAT